TAGGTAGTGAGGTTTGGAAGAAGGCTATGGATGAAGAACTGAATTCAATCAATAAGAACAAAACCTGGGAGTTAGTTGACCCCCCCTATTGATAAATTACCTGTTGCAGTGAGATGGGTATTCAAGACAAAACTCAATCCGGATGGTACCATTTGCAAACATAAGGCAAGATTGGTAGCCAAAGGGTTTATGCAGAAAGAAGGAGTTGATTTCACTGAAGTATTTGCTCCAGTTGCTAGGTTTGAAACAATCAGATTGATTGTTTCTTTAGCTACTGTGAGGAACTGGGAATTGAGACAGCTTGATGTTAAATCAGCTTTTCTCAATGGACCCCTTGAAGAAGAAGTGTATGTTTGTCAACCTCCTGGATATATCATTAAAGGAAGTGAAGATAAAGTTTACAGACTGAAGAAGGCCTTATATGGATTAAGGCAAGCACCAAGAGCTTGGAACAAACGGATTGACACATTTCTATCAAACCTTGGGTTTAAGAAGTGTTATGTTGAGCATGGTGTTTATGTGAAAGTGATGAAAAGTGGAGATATTCTCATAATCTGTTTGTACGTTGATGATTTGTTGATAACAGGTAGTTGTGCTACTGGAATTGAAGATATTAAGACAAAGCTCAAATCTGAGTTTGAGATGTCAGATATTGGCAGATTGTCTTACTTTCTTGGCATAGAATTCTCACAGATTGAAGAAGGGATTCTAATGCACCAGAAGAAGTATATTCATGATGTTCTTGAAAGGTTTGACATGCTGAATTGCAATCCTGCTGAAACACCAGCTGAAGCTCAGTTGAAGCTTAACTTGGATGATGAAGAACCTGAAGTTGATTGCACTTTGTTCAGACAAATGGTTGGATGTCTGAGATTCATTTGCCACACTAGACCAGAGATATCCTACAGTGTTGGTTTGGTGAGTAGGTTTATGAGTAATCCAAAGAAAACTCATTTGACAGCAGCAAAAAGAATTTTAAGATACCTAAGTGGTACTATTGGTTTTGGAGTGTTATTTTCTAACCAGGTTAATAACATAAGTCCAAAGCTAATAGCTTATTCAGACTCAGATTGGTCAGGAGACATGATTGAAAGGAAGAGTACTATGGGTTATGTCTTTATGCTTTCTGGATCACCCATATCATGGTGTTCTAAGAAACAGGAAGTCATAGCTCTGTCTACTTGTGAAGCTGAATACATTTCAGCTTGTCATGCTGCTTGTCAAGCTTTGTGGTTAAATTCTTTGTTAGAAGAACTGAAGATTGGTGTTGGCAGAAGTGTTGAGTTGTTTGTGGACAACAAATCTGCCATAAACTTGGCAAAAAATCCAGTTGTTCATGGGCGGAGCAAACATATTGAAACAAAGTTTCATTTTCTGAGAGATCAAGTTAACAAAGGGAAGATCATACTGAAGCATTGCAAGACTGAAGTTCAGATAGCTGACATACTGACTAAAGCTTTGAGAAGTGACAGATTCAAGGAGATTAGAAGACTCATGAATGTTGTTTGTTTGTAATTTTTGAATTACGAGGGAGTGTTAGTAAAATGAGATAATTCAAAAGTCTGTTAAATAGTTTGTTAATCAGATTCGTTAGTCAGTTAGCGGCCCTATTACATATACTTGTATTCCTTCAGTTTTGTTAAGACAAGAATAATACGAAGCTCTCTTCTCTGCCTTGTTATTAAAACTCTATTCATCTTTTCTAATTTCTCTGCAATTAGTCATCTTCCCCAACACTACGTACCTGGTACTCCGTATAAGAGATTTGTTTTTTCTTTTGGAAATATAATACTCGGTATGCTATTTAGGCATGTCATGTCATTCCTTACGTCCGGAGTATTATTCTATATACACACGGTACAAAAGGGCACACAAGGGTGAAAATGAGAAGAAATTCTAACTTTTACTTGCTTGAAAATGGATGGGACTCGCTTGAAAATGGATGGGTTGGATGCAGATTTAACCAAAAATAGTGTCAAATTAATGTATAAATGTTTATAATACAAATTGAAAATTTCATAGATAAAACTCAAAAAGTGCACTCATGAGTTAAAAAAATCATCATATTTGTTTAATCTTTTACACATTTTATTCTCTATTCCGACGCACTTTTATGTCCCATGTCCACACTTTTTTACATTTTGATGCGTATTAGTTATGACAATATTCACTATAGTGCCACCACATTTTTCTCATTTAAAATTTGATGTATTATATTCCACATTCCCGCCCTCACTTGAACGGTCAAGACCACTTCTTATTTTTCAATCAAGAAACATTTTATTATTTGAACCAAAGTACATAGATAAGGTATCAATTATAAACACCTTCTAATCTACAAACTCATCTTAGTCATCCGATGAGTTTATCTAAAGATAATAGATGCACGGTGGCATTTTGGTAATAAAACAAAAAATATCGGATGCAACACTTTAAACATTAATATGTAACATATTACTTCATTGCAGAATAATATGCAACGCTTTGAACGTTAATATGTTATACAAACAACTAACGTAAAGTTGCATCATACAAATATTTGCACAATAAACGATGTGTGTACCTTATCCTCCCCCTAGTGATATAAAGGGAGAGAGAGTATCATTCATATCAGGTCAAGGTTAGCCAGACAAAAATCCCATCAGGCCAAAATCATTTTTTTGCTGAAAAACAAGTTTATGATGTAACATTATTTGAATTATTTTGAATTAATCAAATAATAATGTCTCATAAGTGTGGTGCAATGATGGCGGATATTTATCTGTAACAGTTTCCGTTACAAGAGCCACCTTGATGGTAGGTGGCTATATAAGTGCTTCATGGTCCTCCCACTCCTCCATCACAACATACAAGCACACGCATGCTTAGCTCTATAGATCAATTGGCTTAGAATATTATACACCATCTAGAGTGAGGAGTGAAGTGGGAGACGAAAAGCTTTCCGGTGTTCTTCCACGTTCTTCGACCGTTCATCAACAATATGGCTGGAGGTTAGCGATCCTATTATTTCCGCTGCATTTATATGATTATTAAGCTCACATTTGGCATCAGAGCCTGTTTAATCTCTGCCTATTTGTTGTATGAACATCATGAATTTTATATGAACTTTTGGTATATCCATGTTCATATATGTTTTCATCACATCACACACATATTTTTTTCTCGTATATTATGAATATACATATGCATACATTTAACATGATTTTGCCATATGCATGAATTATATGTAACGTGATCCATGTTTATGTGTGTTCATATGACACATGTATGTATATTTGTGTCATATAATTTTTATATATGATCATATGAATTATTATATAAAATCTATATATATATATGTGTGTGTGTGTGTGTGTTTTGGTTCAAATAAGAACACGATCTTACGAGAGAAATGAGAACGAATCTGGACCGTTGGATTGTCTTCAAGTGAAATTCAGTGTGCATTAGATGAAACTGTAATGTGCATTAGGTGAAATTGAAATGTGCATCAGAAAGGGTACGATAGAGTGGCATTATGTGCAGTTGAATTGTGCATTACGTGAAATTGAAATGTGCACTAGGTGAAACTGAAATGTGCAGAATAAAAAGTATGATGTGATGTTATTTTTGTATTTTTTTTCGCACATATCAGTTTCATCTAATGCACACTTGAGTTTAAATTTTTATTTTGCACATTTCAATATCATTTAATGCACATTTCAATTTCACCAAATGCACAATTTGGTTCCACATAATACAATCCAACGATCCAGATTCGTTCTCATTTTTCTCCCAAGATCTATTCTTACCGGAATCGCTCCCTATATATATATATATATATATATACTTTCCAAAAATTATATATATTGTAACACCAGATCCGAATTTTACTGTGAGAAATTTTTTTCATCAAGTACTGGGTTAAAGAAAGTAAATCAAGGCTAAGAGTAGTCTTGATAAATGAGAAAGTAAAAATTTTGTCCTAAATTAATAAAGGGTTATTAATTTAGATGTGGGACCACTCGTGGTATTTCAACTTTATAAAATATTATTGTTTTCCAAAACGATACTATTATGATAATAGGTATGGGTGGTGGACCCCAATGATATAAAGAACGACAACTAGATGGCCAAGCGGGCCGGGGTCTCTATCTGATAATTGTGAATCATTAATTATCGGATTAATAATAATTCGGAAGGCTACGAATTAATAACAGAAGGAATATAAATATTTTAAGAACTCAAAATATGGGATGATGGATAATAATGAGTAAGTTGACATGTTGGAGGTGGGTACTTTTGGAGGACCCTACCTTGAAGATATTTTCATATAAGAATAAACATATAAGATTTTATCTGTTCATGCAGTTCGGACCACTTAAAAATAAGTGTAACATTTTATTAAAGTGTCACCAAATATGAAACCACATATATTAAGTAATGAGAAATGACGAGTGAATTTTCGAGGCAACGCGTTCTCATTTTTACTGTTACTTGAACAGTAAAATACACGTTGGGCCCACACGTGGGCGGCGACCATCCGATATTTACGGACCACATATTATATTCATCTTGGTTTAGATAATATTTATATGATGGTGTAAATTAATGTTGAGCCATAAAGTTGGCCTTTCAATCAAACAAGGTCCCATTATCGGTATAGTTAATTAATCAGATAACAGTCCGAAATAAATTCCGGGGACCACTAAATTAAAGTTGGGTAATATATAATCATTTTAGAAGCCAATATTAATTGGAAGAATGATATATATTTTATTTGACCCGATTAAATAAAATATAATTAAAACAGTCCAGAAAATACAACTTTCGGGACCGAATGTACACTTTGGGACATAAAGGGATGACCTCCCACATGGGTGGGGGCCACCCTACGAAATTATTCAGCAAAGTAGACAAAAGGATGGCTGTACAATGGTAGGAAGGAGATGAGAAGTTGACTTGAAGTGATAAGCATGAATGAGAGACATATGTGGACCCTTTTCCTTTATTATTATTGGTGGTATGAGCCAAAATGCATCAATCTCTCTTCCCCCCAATCACCCACTCGGCCAGCACCATCAAGAGGAGAAGAACATCTGCAAACACACCTCCATAGCCAAGAAAAAACCGAGCTCAAGGTTGAAGAAGACTCAAGGAAGAAGAAAGGCTTGGGAAAGAAAAGAAAAACTTAGAAAAATTAAGGTAATGACTTCATTAGTATTTTTCTTCCTTCATTTAATCTCATATGATTTTATAAATCATATGATACACTTCTAGAGGTGTTGAATGAGGGTTTGGAAGGTTAAGTTTAACCATGAACGGAGTTATGGCCGGAGTAAGACCGGTTCACCGGGAAACACCTTCTCGGAAGGTTTTGACATTTATACCACTTTTGGTTGTGAAAACTTGTTAGGAATTTTACCAAGGTATTCTAGACTTCTCGAGGAATCTAGGAGTGGCCGGGAAGTCGCCGGAGCCGCCGGAGTTTCGCCGGAAAATTCCAAAAGTCACCGGAGTTCAAACAAAGAGGATAAAAGCTTGCTAGCGTCATTTCGAGGTGAGTGGACGACTACGTGTCTTGTAACTCTTGGTTCAAACGTGAGATTACCTAAATAAAATCATAACCATGATTTGAGGAATGATTAAATGTATTAAAATGCATGATTAGTCATGGTGAACATGATTAATGAAAAATAGATTAATTTATTAATTAATCATGAGTATACTTTTCTTAAATGAATAAGAAGGTATACTTGGACTATGTATGAGACTAACTAGAGTAATCTAGTGAATGAATACATGAAAATATATGTGAACTTGTGATTATCCATATTAAATATGGATTATGGAAGTATTATATGATTAATGAAAATTAGATTGATTAATTAATTAATCATGAGTATATATTTCTTAAATGTATAAGAGGATATACTTGGACTATGCATGTGACTAACTAGAGTAATCTAGTAAATGTAATATATAAAAAGATATGTGACATTGTGATTAGCCATATTAATTATGGTTTATGGAAATATGACATAATTAATGATTAATTAATTAATGGTATGAATAAAAGGTTTTAAGAGAGGATCATGAGTCATGCTAAGGGATTAGGCATGAGATCACTCAAAAGAGGCAGAATGATATTACATTGAATGATCAAATGCATCTAAGAATGTATTGTGACAAGATTACTTATTAATAGTATTAATAAGTATACTTAATATGCTTTAATTTGGATAGAAAATGATTATAAATTATGTGTGATGATTTGGACGTCTAAAATGATATTTTTGGACTAAGAATGACTTGTTGCATAAGCGTATAAAATTTCGTGGAAATCGGACCCCGTTTGGATGGTCAAACGGGCGTTGACCAAAATGTTGACCGGTTGCCCAAGGGATAACCGGCGCCGGTTATAGGCAAAACCGGTGCCGGTTATGGTTCGGTTTACTCAAGAAAATCAGTAAACCGGCGCCGGTTATGGGTAAAACCGGCGCCGGTTATGTCTCGGCTTTCAGGACTGATTTTTGCTAAAAACCCAAATCGGACTCGGTTCGACGTGGGATTAATTCTGGTCATCCTATATATGAATATTTTGCATGGAATTGCATGAAATATGATGTTTAAAATGATAAGGCTTGGAATACGGTTTAAACGCTAAGACTTGGACTAGTCGTTAGTAAAGAAATTATAGACCACGACCGGGCGAGGCACGTGGTAGATTATAAATGGCGGGTGAATACCCGGGACCAAGTAAGGTTATATAATACTCTGTAGGACCAGGAGGAGTCCTCTACACTCAAACGTTAACAAGGGCAAATGCAGTCCTTGAGGTGTGTTTAACCTCCATCAAATTGCATATAGGTAACAAGGGCAAATGCAGTCCTTGAGGTGTGTTTAACCTCCATCAAATTGCATATAGGTAACAAGGGCAAGTGCAGTCCTTGAGGTGTGTTTAACCTCCATCAAATTGCATATAGTTAACAAGGGCAAATGCAGTCCTTGAGGTGTGTTAACCTCCATCAAAGTGCATATAGGTAACAAGGGCCTGTGTAGTCCTTGAGGTGTGTTAACCTCCAGTAAATTACACATAGGATGAGGGTGTATGCGTACTCCTTGAGGCGGGGTTAACCCGGAAATGAAAACTATGATAGCAAGGACGGATAGTCCTCGAGGTAGGTGAACCTCGAAGTAATGATTTTAAATGATTAAACGTGCTTGATCGGGAACGAGTTCCCGATATAATATTTTCCTTGGTCTAGGGATTGATTTAAACCATGTCTGTGATATGGGAGTCCGAAGGGCCCCACAGTAATTATATTTTAGTATCGAGTGAGTTAGCCTGCGGGTGACTCCACTCGAGGGTAAGGCATGGGAAGGATGAATTTAATGAGGCTGTTACGCCTAAATGATTTGAAAGACAAAGGGCCCACGGGCCAGATATTTTACTCATATGTATATATGTATACATTTTGTTTTGAAAAGGGGTAGCTAAGAGTTATGCCCATAATTATACTATCACCCTATTTTGAGGGTCTCACGTGAGAAACGTTAGTTACATTACATACAGTTTGCCCTCACCAGTACTTTTCTGTAGTACTGATCCCTCGGGGGAACCACCCTTTCAGGTTGAAGCTAGAGCTTACTTCCAGCACCCGTTGCTCGGGAGATCAATGGAGAGAAGACGTGGTTCGTGCTTCCTCTCGTGCTATTTTTAAATAATTAAATAATGCTCATGGAACTATTTTGACTTATAAATTAATAGAGCCTGCGAGCTCTTGTTTTACCCTTGTGTGGGTTCTTATTAAACACTTATATTCCGCTATGTGTTTAATTGTATGTTGATGTTGTTATGTATGTTTACTAATCGGTTTTGGCATATGTATCTATCGGACGTCTTGTGCAATTCGGTAAGGATGGACTGTGGTTATTCTTATTGGGTTGTACGACGGTTGTCCACGTGGCACAGACGCGGTCTGGGGCGTGACAATTAAGTGGTATCAGAGCCAGGCGATTTCTAAACTATATAGTCAACCTCTCAACAGAGTTTCTCTCAAAATAATTTTTCAATGAAAACCATGAGCATAAGTTTTGTACTTCAAAGAGCATTTGGTTATTGAGTTGCAAGGTCTCTGGTTGTTAAGATGGGCCCCTTAACAATTGGTATGGCAGTGACTTGAGCCAAGTTGTGTCTTGAGTACGTTTCTGTCAATTGACTTTCAAACGAGTCCAAAGACTCATTCCAACATATTCTTTCAGGAATGGGTGGTAGTGATAGGGCGGTTCGAGGAAATCCGAGAGGGCGCGCATCGGGGATAACCGGGCAAGCCAATCGGGGGATATCAAGGTCACGTAAAAGGCGAGGTATGGGCAATCAAGGCCCACGAACACGAGCTGCGATGGCTGATCACAATGTGACTGAATTCGAGTCGTGGAACTCGGAGGATGACTCAACTTATCACCCTGAAAGCGAGTCAGATGAAACTTCTTTTCAGGAAAACAGTGGAGAGGATATACATAGTATTCCTCCTGACCATGTTAGTGAGATGTACCGATGGTACCAACGTGAAAGGGGAAGACAACGACAGGGATGTCAGGAGGGACTGGTCAGAGGCGAGACCTCTCTCAGGAGGGGTTGGGGTGCTCATAGAGCACGGGTTAGGACAATCAGATGTTCTGATGGCGAAGAACCATTCTTTAAGATCTCAAAATACCTCAAAGAGGCTAGAGCCTTGGGGTGCAAACCATTTGATGGGATGGAGGACATATCGGAAGCAGCCGAGTGGATAAAAAGGTTAAATGATGCAGCTGATGACATGCAGGTGGTCCCTGAACGAAAGTTAAGGGTAGCCACTAGATTATTGGAGGGTTTAGCTTCTACTTGGTGGGAGGGCACCAAGGGTAAGTTTGACGGGGTTGTCACGTGGGACAACTTCGAGCAAACATTTTATGAGCAGTTTTACACCACTTTCGAAGTAAATCGAAAGAGGAGGGAATATATCGATCTCAAACAGGGAAATGAGTTTACGGTGAAGCAACTGGAACAAAGATTCCGACATCTGGCAAGGTTCTTGCCTGAGTATGCCGCAAATGAGAACCGAATGGCAAACCATTTTTGGAATGCACTCAATTTGGAAATACGCGAAAGAGCGACCTACCAATTCGACATGACTTTTAGTCAAGTAGTAGCCCAAGGTCTCCAGGGGGAGGAGCTTTGGAAGGAAAGGCAAGCAAGGGATGCAAAGGAAGCACAAGAAAGAGATCAGGTGATGATTCACCCTCCACGACGAGAGGGGAAGTATGAACCTCAGAGCAAGGGGGACTCTAACAAGTTAGTTCCGTTTTTCAGTGAGAGTCAGAACTTGGTAAGTCAAAGCTCAAGCACTCGGGGCACGGGGGCACCCAAATGTGAGAATTGTAGGCGAAGGCACTACGGGAGATGTCGAGAGCCATCTAGATGTTACTTTTGTGGAGAAACAGGCCACATTAAGGTTCTTTGTCCTCAACGTACGCGTGAAGGAACATCAGAAGCTAGAGGAGGGGTCACGGGGGTTGAAAACCCAACTAGGGTTGCCTCAAACATGGTACCTTCTACAAGTCAATGGCGAACTCGCTCGTGAAGGCCGGGAATGGCGGAAGCCATTTGTTAGGCCCGACCATGGCATAAGGTATTATTGAATTAAACCTTAATTTCAATAAATATTTTTATGTTCAAAATTTTAGCTTCAGAAAATGAAGGGAGAAATGTTTCTCAAGGTTCAGACGTTAATTTCGGGGACGAAATTCCTGTAAGGTGGGGTGAACTTGTAACACCAGATCCGAATTTTACTGTGAGAAATTTTTTTCATCAAGTACTGGGTTAAAGAAAGTAAATCAAGGCTAAGAGTAGTCTTGATAAATGAGAAAGTAAAAATTTTGTCCTAAATTAATAAAGGGTTATTAATTTAGATGTGGGACCACTCGTGGTATTTCAACTTTATAAAATATTATTGTTTTCCAAAACGATACTATTATGATAATAGGTATGGGTGGTGGACCCCAATGATATAAAGAACGACAACTAGATGGCCAAGCGGGCCGGGGTCTCTATCTGATAATTGTGAATCATTAATTATCGGATTAATAATAATTCGGAAGGCTACGAATTAATAACAGAAGGAATATAAATATTTTAAGAACTCAAAATATGGGATGATGGATAATAATGAGTAAGTTGACATGTTGGAGGTGGGTACTTTTGGAGGACCCTACCTTGAAGATATTTTCATATAAGAATAAACATATAAGATTTTATCTGTTCATGCAGTTCGGACCACTTAAAAATAAGTGTAACATTTTATTAAAGTGTCACCAAATATGAAACCACATATATTAAGTAATGAGAAATGACGAGTGAATTTTCGAGGCAACGCGTTCTCATTTTTACTGTTACTTGAACAGTAAAATACACGTTGGGCCCACACGTGGGCGGCGACCATCCGATATTTACGGACCACATATTATATTCATCTTGGTTTAGATAATATTTATATGATGGTGTAAATTAATGTTGAGCCATAAAGTTGGCCTTTCAATCAAACAAGGTCCCATTATCGGTATAGTTAATTAATCAGATAACAGTCCGAAATAAATTCCGGGGACCACTAAATTAAAGTTGGGTAATATATAATCATTTTAGAAGCCAATATTAATTGGAAGAATGATATATATTTTATTTGACCCGATTAAATAAAATATAATTAAAACAGTCCAGAAAATACAACTTTCGGGACCGAATGTACACTTTGGGACATAAAGGGATGACCTCCCACATGGGTGGGGGCCACCCTACGAAATTATTCAGCAAAGTAGACAAAAGGATGGCTGTACAATGGTAGGAAGGAGATGAGAAGTTGACTTGAAGTGATAAGCATGAATGAGAGACATATGTGGACCCTTTTCCTTTATTATTATTGGTGGTATGAGCCAAAATGCATCAATCTCTCTTCCCCCCAATCACCCACTCGGCCAGCACCATCAAGAGGAGAAGAACATCTGCAAACACACCTCCATAGCCAAGAAAAAACCGAGCTCAAGGTTGAAGAAGACTCAAGGAAGAAGAAAGGCTTGGGAAAGAAAAGAAAAACTTAGAAAAATTAAGGTAATGACTTCATTAGTATTTTTCTTCCTTCATTTAATCTCATATGATTTTATAAATCATATGATACACTTCTAGAGGTGTTGAATGAGGGTTTGGAAGGTTAAGTTTAACCATGAACGGAGTTATGGCCGGAGTAAGACCGGTTCACCGGGAAACACCTTCTCGGAAGGTTTTGACATTTATACCACTTTTGGTTGTGAAAACTTGTTAGGAATTTTACCAAGGTATTCTAGACTTCTCGAGGAATCTAGGAGTGGCCGGGAAGTCGCCGGAGCCGCCGGAGTTTCGCCGGAAAATTCCAAAAGTCACCGGAGTTTAAACAAAGAGGATAAAAGCTTGCTAGCGTCATTTCGAGGTGAGTGGACGACTACGTGTCTTGTAACTCTTGGTTCAAACGTGAGATTACCTAAATAAAATCATAACCATGATTTGAGGAATGATTAAATGTATTAAAATGCATGATTAGTCATGGTGAACATGATTAATGAAAAATAGATTAATTTATTAATTAATCATGAGTATACTTTTCTTAAATGAATAAGAAGGTATACTTGGACTATGTATGAGACTAACTAGAGTAATCTAGTGAATGAATACATGAAAATATATGTGAACTTGTGATTATCCATATTAAATATGGATTATGGAAGTATTATATGATTAATGAAAATTAGATTGATTAATTAATTAATCATGAGTATATATTTCTTAAATGTATAAGAGGATATACTTGGACTATGCATGTGACTAACTAGAGTAATCTAGTAAATGTAATATATAAAAAGATATGTGACATTGTGATTAGCCATATTAATTATGGTTTATGGAAATATGACATAATTAATGATTAATTAATTAATGGTATGAATAAAAGGTTTTAAGAGAGGATCATGAGTCATGCTAAGGGATTAGGCATGAGATCACTCAAAAGAGGCAGAATGATATTACATTGAATGATCAAATGCATCTAAGAATGTATTGTGACAAGATTACTTATTAATAGTATTAATAAGTATACTTAATATGCTTTAATTTGGATAGAAAATGATTATAAATTATGTGTGATGATTTGGACGTCTAAAATGATATTTTTGGACTAAGAATGACTTGTTGCATAAGCGTATAAAATTTCGTGGAAATCGGACCCCGTTTGGATGGTCAAACGGGCGTTGACCAAAATGTTGACCGGTTGCCCAAGGGATAACCGGCGCCGGTTATAGGCAAAACCGGTGCCGGTTATGGTTCGGTTTACTCAAGAAAATCAGTAAACCGGCGCCGGTTATGGGTAAAACCGGCGCCGGTTATGTCTCGGCTTTCAGGACTGATTTTTGCTAAAAACCCAAATCGGACTCGGTTCGACGTGGGATTAATTCTGGTCATCCTATATATGAATATTTTGCATGGAATTGCATGAAATATGATGTTTAAAATGATAAGGCTTGGAATACGGTTTAAACGCTAAGACTTGGACTAGTCGTTAGTAAAGAAATTATAGACCACGACCGGGCGAGGCACGTGGTAGATTATAAATGGCGGGTGAATACCCGGGACCAAGTAAGGTTATATAATACTCTGTAGGACCAGGAGGAGTCCTCTACACTCAAACGTTAACAAGGGCAAATGCAGTCCTTGAGGTGTGTTTAACCTCCATCAAATTGCATATAGGTAACAAGGGCAAATGCAGTCCTTGAGGTGTGTTTAACCTCCATCAAATTGCATATAGGTAACAAGGGCAAGTGCAGTCCTTGAGGTGTGTTTAACCTCCATCAAATTGCATATAGTTAACAAGGGCAAATGCAGTCCTTGAGGTGTGTTAACCTCCATCAAAGTGCATATAGGTAACAAGGGCCTGTGTAGTCCTTGAGGTGTGTTAACCTCCAGTAAATTACACATAGGATGAGGGTGTATGCGTACTCCTTGAGGCGGGGTTAACCCGGAAATGAAAACTATGATAGCAAGGACGGATAGTCCTCGAGGTAGGTGAACCTCGAAGTAATGATTTTAAATGATTAAACGTGCTTGATCGGGAACGAGTTCCCGATATAATATTTTCCTTGGTCTAGGGATTGATTTAAACCATGTCTGTGATATGGGAGTCCGAAGGGCCCCACAGTAATTATATTTTAGTATCGAGTGAGTTAGCCTGCGGGTGACTCCACTCGAGGGTAAGGCATGGGAAGGATGAATTTAATGAGGCTGTTACGCCTAAATGATTTGAAAGACAAAGGGCCCACGGGCCAGATATTTTACTCATATGTATATATGTATACATTTTGTTTTGAAAAGGGGTAGCTAAGAGTTATGCCCATAATTATACTATCACCCTATTTTGAGGGTCTCACGTGAGAAACGTTAGTTACATTACATACAGTTTGCCCTCACCAGTACTTTTCTGTAGTACTGATCCCTCGGGGGAACCACCCTTTCAGGTTGAAGCTAGAGCTTACTTCCAGCACCCGTTGCTCGGGAGATCAATGGAGAGAAGACGTGGTTCGTGCTTCCTCTCGTGCTATTTTTAAATAATTAAATAATGCTCATGGAACTATTTTGACTTATAAATTAATAGAGCCTGCGAGCTCTTGTTTTACCCTTGTGTGGGTTCTTATTAAACACTTATATTCCGCTATGTGTTTAATTGTATGTTGATGTTGTTATGTATGTTTACTAATCGGTTTTGGCATATGTATCTATCGGACGTCTTGTGCAATTCGGTAAGGATGGACTGTGGTTATTCTTATTGGGTTGTACGACGGTTGTCCACGTGGCACAGACGCGGTCTGGGGCGTGACAATTAAGTGGTATCAGAGCCAGGCGATTTCTAAACTATATAGTCAACCTCTCAACAGAGTTTCTCTCAAAATAATTTTTCAATGAAAACCATGAGCATAAGTTTTGTACTTCAAAGAGCATTTGGTTATTGAGTTGCAAGGTCTCTGGTTGTTAAGATGGGCCCCTTAACAATTGGTATGGCAGTGACTTGAGCCAAGTTGTGTCTTGAGTACGTTTCTGTCAATTGACTTTCAAACGAGTCCAAAGACTCATTCCAACATATTCTTTCAGGAATGGGTGGTAGTGATAGGGCGGTTCGAGGAAATCCGAGAGGGCGCGCATCGGGGATAACCGGGCAAGCCAATCGGGGGATATCAAGGTCACGTAAAAGGCGAGGTATGGGCAATCAAGGCCCACGAACACGAGCTGCGATGGCTGATCACAATGTGACTGAATTCGAGTCGTGGAACTCGGAGGATGACTCAACTTATCACCCTGAAAGCGAGTCAGATGAAACTTCTTTTCAGGAAAACAGTGGAGAGGATATACATAGTATTCCTCCTGACCATGTTAGTGAGATGTACCGATGGTACCAACGTGAAAGGGGAAGACAACGACAGGGATGTCAGGAGGGACTGGTCAGAGGCGAGACCTCTCTCAGGAGGGGTTGGGGTGCTCATAGAGCACGGGTTAGGACAATCAGATGTTCTGATGGCGAAGAACCATTCTTTAAGATCTCAAAATACCTCAAAGAGGCTAGAGCCTTGGGGTGCAAACCATTTGATGGGATGGAGGACATATCGGAAGCAGCCGAGTGGATAAAAAGGTTAAATGATGCAGCTGATGACATGCAGGTGGTCCCTGAACGAAAGTTAAGGGTAGCCACTAGATTATTGGAGGGTTTAGCTTCTACTTGGTGGGAGGGCACCAAGGGTAAGTTTGACGGGGTTGTCACGTGGGACAACTTCGAGCAAACATTTTATGAGCAGTTTTACACCACTTTCGAAGTAAATCGAAAGAGGAGGGAATATATCGATCTCAAACAGGGAAATGAGTTTACGGTGAAGCAACTGGAACAAAGATTCCGACATCTGGCAAGGTTCTTGCCTGAGTATGCCGCAAATGAGAACCGAATGGCAAACCATTTTTGGAATGCACTCAATTTGGAAATACGCGAAAGAGCGACCTACCAATTCGACATGACTTTTAGTCAAGTAGTAGCCCAAGGTCTCCAGGGGGAGGAGCTTTGGAAGGAAAGGCAAGCAAGGGATGCAAAGGAAGCACAAGAAAGAGATCAGGTGATGATTCACCCTCCACGACGAGAGGGGAAGTATGAACCTCAGAGCAAGGGGGACTCTAACAAGTTAGTTCCGTTTTTCAGTGAGAGTCAGAACTTGGTAAGTCAAAGCTCAAGCACTCGGGGCACGGGGGCACCCAAATGTGAGAATTGTAGGCGAAGGCACTACGGGAGATGTCGAGAGCCATCTAGATGTTACTTTTGTGGAGAAACAGGCCACATTAAGGTTCTTTGTCCTCAACGTACGCGTGAAGGAACATCAGAAGCTAGAGGAGGGGTCACGGGGGTTGAAAACCCAACTAGGGTTGCCTCAAACATGGTACCTTCTACAAGTCAATGGCGAACTCGCTCGTGAAGGCCGGGAATGGCGGAAGCCATTTGTTAGGCCCGACCATGGCATAAGGTATTATTGAATTAAACCTTAATTTCAATAAATATTTTTATGTTCAAAATTTTAGCTTCAGAAAATGAAGGGAGAAATGTTTCTCAAGGTTCAGACGTTAATTTCGGGGACGAAATTCCTGTAAGGTGGGGTGAACTTGTAACACCAGATCCGAATTTTACTGTGAGAAATTTTTTTCATCAAGTACTGGGTTAAAGAAAGTAAATCAAGGCTAAGAGTAGTCTTGATAAATGAGAAAGTAAAAATTTTGTCCTAAATTAATAAAGGGTTATTAATTTAGATGTGGGACCACTCGTGGTATTTCAACTTTATAAAATATTATTGTTTTCCAAAACGATACTATTATGATAATAGGTATGGGTGGTGGACCCCAATGATATAAAGAACGACAACTAGATGGCCAAGCGGGCCGGGGTCTCTATCTGATAATTGTGAATCATTAATTATCGGATTAATAATAATTCGGAAGGCTACGAATTAATAACAGAAGGAATATAAATATTTTAAGAACTCAAAATATGGGATGATGGATAATAATGAGTAAGTTGACATGTTGGAGGTGGGTACTTTTGGAGGACCCTACCTTGAAGATATTTTCATATAAGAATAAACATATAAGATTTTATCTGTTCATGCAGTTCGGACCACTTAAAAATAAGTGTAACATTTTATTAAAGTGTCACCAAATATGAAACCACATATATTAAGTAATGAGAAATGACGAGTGAATTTTCGAGGCAACGCGTTCTCATTTTTACTGTTACTTGAACAGTAAAATACACGTTGGGCCCACACGTGGGCGGCGACCATCCGATATTTACGGACCACATATTATATTCATCTTGGTTTAGATAATATTTATATGATGGTGTAAATTAATGTTGAGCCATAAAGTTGGCCTTTCAATCAAACAAGGTCCCATTATCGGTATAGTTAATTAATCAGATAACAGTCCGAAATAAATTCCGGGGACCACTAAATTAAAGTTGGGTAATATATAATCATTTTAGAAGCCAATATTAATTGGAAGAATGATATATATTTTATTTGACCCGATTAAATAAAATATAATTAAAACAGTCCAGAAAATACAACTTTCGGGACCGAATGTACACTTTGGGACATAAAGGGATGACCTCCCACATGGGTGGGGGCCACCTACGAAATTATTCAGCAAAGTAGACAAAAGGATGGCTGTACAATGGTAGGAAGGAGATGAGAAGTTGACTTGAAGTGATAAGCATGAATGAGAGACATATGTGGACCCTTTTCCTTTATTATTATTGGTGGTATGAGCCAAAATGCATCAATCTCTCTTCCCCCCAATCACCCACTCGGCCAGCACCATCAAGAGGAGAAGAACATCTGCAAACACACCTCCATAGCCAAGAAAAAACCGAGCTCAAGGTTGAAGAAGACTCAAGGAAGAAGAAAGGCTTGGGAAAGAAAAGAAAAACTTAGAAAAATTAAGGTAATGACTTCATTAGTATTTTTCTTCCTTCATTTAATCTCATATGATTTTATAAATCATATGATACACTTCTAGAGGTGTTGAATGAGGGTTTGGAAGGTTAAGTTTAACCATGAACGGAGTTATGGCCGGAGTAAGACCGGTTCACCGGGAAACACCTTCTCGGAAGGTTTTGACATTTATACCACTTTTGGTTGTGAAAACTTGTTAGGAATTTTACCAAGGTATTCTAGACTTCTCGAGGAATCTAGGAGTGGCCGGGAAGTCGCCGGAGCCGCCGGAGTTTCGCCGGAAAATTCCAAAAGTCACCGGAGTTCAAACAAAGAGGATAAAAGCTTGCTAGCGTCATTTCGAGGTGAGTGGACGACTACGTGTCTTGTAACTCTTGGTTCAAACGTGAGATTACCTAAATAAAATCATAACCATGATTTGAGGAATGATTAAATGTATTAAAATGCATGATTAGTCATGGTGAACATGATTAATGAAAAATAGATTAATTTATTAATTAATCATGAGTATACTTTTCTTAAATGAATAAGAAGGTATACTTGGACTATGTATGAGACTAACTAGAGTAATCTAGTGAATGAATACATGAAAATATATGTGAACTTGTGATTATCCATATTAAATATGGATTATGGAAGTATTATATGATTAATGAAAATTAGATTGATTAATTAATTAATCATGAGTATATATTTCTTAAATGTATAAGAGGATATACTTGGACTATGCATGTGACTAACTAGAGTAATCTAGTAAATGTAATATATAAAAAGATATGTGACATTGTGATTAGCCATATTAATTATGGTTTATGGAAATATGACATAATTAATGATTAATTAATTAATGGTATGAATAAAAGGTTTTAAGAGAGGATCATGAGTCATGCTAAGGGATTAGGCATGAGATCACTCAAAAGAGGCAGAATGATATTACATTGAATGATCAAATGCATCTAAGAATGTATTGTGACAAGATTACTTATTAATAGTATTAATAAGTATACTTAATATGCTTTAATTTGGATAGAAAATGATTATAAATTATGTGTGATGATTTGGACGTCTAAAATGATATTTTTGGACTAAGAATGACTTGTTGCATAAGCGTATAAAATTTCGTGGAAATCGGACCCCGTTTGGATGGTCAAACGGGCGTTGACCAAAATGTTGACCGGTTGCCCAAGGGATAACCGGCGCCGGTTATAGGCAAAACCGGTGCCGCTTATGGTTCGGTTTACTCAAGAAAATCAGTAAACCGGCGCCGGTTATGGGTAAAACCGGCGCCGGTTATGTCTCGGCTTTCAGGACTGATTTTTGCTAAAAACCCAAATCGGACCCGGTTCGACGTGGGATTAATTCTGGTCATCCTATATATGAATATTTTGCATGGAATTGCATGAAATATGATGTTTAAAATGATAAGGCTTGGAATACGGTTTAAACGCTAAGACTTGGACTAGTCGTTAGTAAAGAAATTATAGACCACGACCGGGCGAGGCACGTGGTAGATTATAAATGGCGGGTGAATACCCGGGACCAAGTAAGGTTATATAATACTCTGTAGGACCAGGAGGAGTCCTCTACACTCAAACGTTAACAAGGGCAAATGCAGTCCTTGAGGTGTGTTTAACCTCCATCAAATTGCATATAGGTAACAAGGGCAAATGCAGTCCTTGAGGTGTGTTTAACCTCCATCAAATTGCATATAGGTAACAAGGGCAAGTGCAGTCCTTGAGGTGTGTTTAACCTCCATCAAATTGCATATAGTTAACAAGGGCAAATGCAGTCCTTGAGGTGTGTTAACCTCCATCAAAGTGCATATAGGTAACAAGGGCCTGTGTAGTCCTTGAGGTGTGTTAACCTCCAGTAAATTACACATAGGATGAGGGTGTATGCGTACTCCTTGAGGCGGGGTTAACCCGGAAATGAAAACTATGATAGCAAGGACGGATAGTCCTCGAGGTAGGTGAACCTCGAAGTAATGATTTTAAATGATTAAACGTGCTTGATCGGGAACGAGTTCCCGATATAATATTTTCCTTGGTCTAGGGATTGATTTAAACCATGTCTGTGATATGGGAGTCCGAAGGGCCCCACAGTAATTATATTTTAGTATCGAGTGAGTTAGCCTGCGGGTGACTCCACTCGAGGGTAAGGCATGGGAAGGATGAATTTAATGAGGCTGTTACGCCTAAATGATTTGAAAGACAAAGGGCCCACGGGCCAGATATTTTACTCATATGTATATATGTATACATTTTGTTTTGAAAAGGGGTAGCTAAGAGTTATGCCCATAATTATACTATCACCCTATTTTGAGGGTCTCACGTGAGAAACGTTAGTTACATTACATACAGTTTGCCCTCACCAGTACTTTTCTGTAGTACTGATCCCTCGGGGGAACCACCCTTTCAGGTTGAAGCTAGAGCTTACTTCCAGCACCCGTTGCTCGGGAGATCAATGGAGAGAAGACGTGGTTCGTGCTTCCTCTCGTGCTATTTTTAAATAATTAAATAATGCTCATGGAACTATTTTGACTTATAAATTAATAGAGCCTGCGAGCTCTTGTTTTACCCTTGTGTGGGTTCTTATTAAACACTTATATTCCGCTATGTGTTTAATTGTATGTTGATGTTGTTATGTATGTTTACTAATCGGTTTTGGCATATGTATCTATCGGACGTCTTGTGCAATTCGGTAAGGATGGACTGTGGTTATTCTTATTGGGTTGTACGACGGTTGTCCACGTGGCACAGACGCGGTCTGGGGCGTGACATATATTGATTGTTCGGAAATCATATATATTTATATGAGTTTATGAATTGAAATTGTTACATGTATATTTGATTGTGAGAGACATATACATTTTTTTTTCTCAAATTCACATGTTAACCTTTTGAATTCCTATCATTATCACTACTAGAAAAACAGCTTACAGTGACACTTGTTTAGCGACACTATAATGTCACCGATGCATTTATGACACTTATATATCAGTGATTACTGATACTATTACATCAACACATATTAGTGACACTCTAACTCAATATATTATTTAATTTTAGATTTTAAATATTTCCTAACCCTAACATTTCATTTATACGATTACATTCTCCCTCTACCCTTCTCTCATTCACCTCAGCACACCCTCTAGCCGCCGTTGTGAGTCTGGAGTCTGCACTCTGCACACTGATCCGATTGGATGCCTGAACACCGTCGCCACTCATCGGACACATCACTGGACCGCTCGTAAGGATGGAAGCTGTTACCGCTCGTTGAACGCATCGTCGGCACTCGTCAGATGCATCGACACCACCTGTAAGGATGGACGCTATCACCACTTTCTGGACGCTCCTTAGGTCATCAATTCCTTTCGGCCTCGACCTTACCCTAACTACAGTAGACTGATTCGGTGAGTTTTCTCCTTTTCCTTGGGATTCTTATCTTACGAAAGAAGATGCTAATCTCTAGGTAATCGATCTCTAGCTAGAACCCATATCCTTATCCCTCTAACTTTAATTCTAGTTTTAAACCTAAATTCAGAATATTTTGATACCATCTATTTGTGTTTTATAATTCTATACCCTAGCTATGAAGTTTAAACCTATTTAGTGAAGGAGAAGTAGAAGAAGTTGTATTTGTAATTAGAAGCAAGCTTTATCTAACTTTTGCAGATTTAACTTAACTTGCCCATATCTTGTATCTCCCTCCCTCGAACATAGTCCCTTGTTGTAGCCCTTTTCTGCCCTTGTTTTATGCTTCTAATTCTAATATATACTGCCAAAATACATTTCGAAATTGTGGGTTAACGAGGAAAATTTGAGGGCATGTATATATTTGGTAGAGCATGAGATATTGATAAGGTTATGCAAATAGATGTACACACCATTGTGAAAGTTTGAGAAGCCTACCTGGAGATAATTTAGCTTAGGCCGCACACTGAACACACACAACATATTTTTAGCAGATTGTTGAGAACCGAACAGATTATTAGCAGACAATCTTGTTTCAGGATGTTTGGGTTTTAGAAAATGCCAATGGTAACTCTCTTATGTGCCATGACCAAATTGATTCAACAAGTGCTTTGGTTCCAGGAAGGTAAATGTGCCTAGCTTGATGCCATATTACAACCGAATGGTCCGTAGCTCTTAATAGGTAGCCTTATGTGATTCTGTTTTTATTAAAGTACTAGATCAATTGTCATAAGTAGTTATAATGTGCTACAAATAATATGGTACTATAAGGCTCATGCTTTTTAATTGCCCACTTGGACCAGTATATTTTCTAATATCGTCAACAATTGTACTTTTTGTTGTTTATGTTCTCTTGAGACTAGTCTTCTCTTAACTAATTATGACTACCAGTACATGATTTAAGCTTGCTCTTAAATACAAGAATTTCTTTTTTCTTGGAAGTCGGCGTGCTTCAAAACTGTGATTTATTAGTATTTCCGGAACTTTGGTTTAAGAATAGGTTGTTTTAATGATCCAAAATCACGAATGTAGTGTTTTAATATCCGCCCGCTCTGTTTGAGTTTGTAGAGTTGTCATGAAGCATACTTATGGTACTATTTATACATTGGTCAGTAATGCTTAAACTCTTTGGGCAATGTGCATCAAAGTACTAATGAGTGATGCTAGTTCATGTTTGGCTTACATTATATACTTCTGGAGCAATACATTTTGCTTTAAAAAAAATTAATGGTGTGTTTAAAAATTGCAGATGGATGACTTGTAGCGAAGTGATTAATCGGGTTTTGTTTAGCCACTAACCTTTCCTGGTGAAATAAGGTGTTATTATGTCAACTTATTTAAAGTCATCAAACTTTTCTGTGCGACTGATAGAACTACACAATATTTCAACAATAATTCTAACAAGAATCTGCTCAAACAAGAGAAAAGAATGCAAGAACACCAATCAACAATATACTGAAATGTAAATGTTCAGTGCAGAGTCCCAACAGTAGAGATAAACTCTAACTTCCCAGCCAAGACAATTCGTCTAAAAAACAGCCTACTTCAATGCTCCCAGTTTATTCTATTTATAGTCAGACTTTATAACCGTAAGTGGTTATAAGCAGCTTAACAAAATAACAACTAACTACTTTCTTCTTCTAGAATAAACTTGGCTATAGTATTTGTCTTGTTTACTAAACTGGCCCGGGTCTCTATCAGCAACCTTTAGATTTTCGAAGTACTTGTCTAATGGTTATATTGTTTTTTCTTCTCCGTTTGATGATCTTAGGTAGGAAAAAGCCATCATTGTAATTGGCTTATGATAATGCCCAACATTTTTTTTAACAGTCCACTTCATTCTTAATTTTCACTGGACTGGGGAAGTAGATTGGGATGAATTGACTAATTGAGGTGAAGGTTAGTTAGTTCTTTCCACAATCATTTCTAGAATTCTTTTTAGAAATATTTAAAATAATCTTATCTAGAAATGCCAATAGTAATCAAATTTTAAATTTACTTGCAGGAAGATACTCCAGAAATCAGGCAAGTATCATGTTATTCCTTTGCTCCTATCAGTTTTTTCTGGCTTCTGAATGTTGGCAATTATGCACTTGTATATAAGAATGACATCCATCAATTGTACCGTTTATTAATACTCATCTGAATATTCTCAGCAGAGTGAACCTATTCAATAATGAAATGAAATTAATTTCCTTTTTTTTGAATTTTTTCAGACTTTCAATGGAGTTCAAGCAGATATTGAGAAGTACTCTAAAGACGATGGTAATGCCAGGAATAATGATGTCTAGCGTGTAGCAAATAAAAATGTTGTATTATTAAAGTGTAGATTTATTGCAACTTGTAATAGACCTAGTTATTGATATTGACACTTTGTAAAATAATTTGAGTAATATATATAATTGTTGATATTTTGTTTTGGTTATTTATTAATATGTGTAAATCTATAGTATAATTAGAAAAAAAATATAATGATTATTATTATAGTTATATGATACCAATATGTCATATATATGTTTATGATACCAATGTGTCACAAAAGTCTTATGATACCAAAGTGTCATAATCTTGTACCACATTAATGTGTCATCATTTATTGACACTATTCCGTTTTACGATCAGTGACACTATATTTAGTGTCACTAGCCGCCACTTTCCCCGACGCTTATTTAGTGTCACAGAAACTTTCAGTGACACTAAATTAGTGTCACTGTAAGGCCCTTTTCTACTAGTGTATGTTTGATGGAATGGCTATGGTTACATTTAAGTCTTGAATATATGTATTCTAAATGAATTTTGTATATACACATGTTTTGCAAATTTTGTGATTCTTCCATTCGTTAATAATTCGGAAAAATATTAAAACGGATGGCTAGTTAATAATTTTGATGTATTCTACATGCATACATATGGTGTTTCTACGTGTATATATGTGTGGAGGAGATGCTATCGGATATGGTGGCCGCCGGTTGATGTAGCACCATAGGGTGCTGCGGCGGTAGTGCCATGACGAGTTTGATACGGCATCATAAGGAATGCCGTGACTCCATTATGTTTTTTCGAATATCTCCATGAAGTTAGAGAATAAGGTTTGGACTTATTACTATATTCGGGATCCACTTTGAGTAAATTAAATTTTGCTATTTTAATCTGGATCAATAATTTTGTGTTTTGAACGATTTAATTCTTTTTCCAGCACATTTATGTTAATTATAACGTGATGCATTGAGTTTAAATTTTTATGCATTGCATTCAAATTGTGCATTGAAATCGTGCACTATATTGATGTGGCCTATAATGCATAACGTTTGATATTAATGTCTTTAATGCGTAATATTAATGTCTTTAATACGTAACGTTATTGATGTCTTTAATGTGTGATGTTAATGTGTAACGATATTAGTGCCTCGAATGCATAACGTCGGGAATCAATGCACATATTATTCCCATTAAAGTTGAACTTATGCATAATTGTAATTGAGATAGTGCCTAAAATTTAAGCACATTAACTAAATAAATTCTCATTCCATTACCTTTAAAGTTTTTCCCATAAATAAAATATTTGTGGTAGTGCCCAAACAACAATTAATGTGATAAACTTGAAACGAGGAAAATTCTTGGGAAGTACAAACTAGTTATGCTTCAATTTTTTATACTAGTTTTTCTTGAACTGTTATTTATCTAAAGAATTATTCTTTAATAAATCCTAGACCCGACCGACTGTCCTGGGAGCATATTAGGGGATTGTCCATCACGATTGTCGTTTTAAACTTTAAAGGATTGCCTTTGTGATAATATAATTTTATTAATTTTGGAGTAGCCACAACATCCTTAATTAATTAAAATTATATATTAAGAAGCCCTTGGCGAAAATCACATTAAAGTTGGGCATAACATTTGTAAATAATTATACGTAATATGACATAATTTATCCCATAGGAAATTTTGTTATATTTGTATGATTAATTAGGATAAAATATCGGACTATGGTCATAATTTTTCCCACAAAGAATTATGTTTCGGAATATAGTTTGATATGTTTATCGGTATGGGTACATAAATTAATTTAAGACTCATGCATAAGAATTTCGCCCACAGGCAATTTTTATGGCGGTTGAGTCATCATGGTGCGTCATTTACGTACATTGGTAATGCATGCAATTAAGTTATATATGTACCTCCAAAATAACACAAGCTATATGTGGACCTTTTTCAGCTTCTCAACCCATTACTCATTCCGAATTTTCGTTAGGCCTTGAAATTCCCGAACTAACTGGTGACAACTATAAGGTTTGGAGAGAAAGAGTTCTCCTACACTTAGGTTGCATGGACATTGATTATGCTATTAGGAAGGATGAACCACCCGCCATTAATGCACAAAGTACTCCGCCTAAAATTGCGCTATATGAGC